CTCTGAGTAAAACACCGAGATGTTACACAATTCAAATCCTTCTGCCAGGCACTGAGTGAGGTTTGCCAGTCAAAAAATATTTTAAAATATGCATTAATTTAAATAACCTTGACCATCTCATCCTTCTAGAAATGATCTGAAAGATGAAAAATTTGGCAGAGTTTTGGCACTATAAGTTGCAATTTTTCCTTATTAGATTATTTTTCCTAAGGATCAATCTACAACTCCATTTTAACATGAGTCACTGTTACGATCACTGTCCAATCTGCATTTTATGCAAAAATTACAAACTCCTCTACTACATCATGCAAAGTGGGGGGTATGGGGAGAACTTGCTAGCAAGACACAGGATTAACTCCTTTTTCAGTGAACTTCAGGAGGACTTGGGGAAACAAGTTAATTTCTATTTTTGTACACCTTCTTTGTGTATCTAAGAGTTTCACTTCAGGGATTCACTGAATAACGGCTCATTAAGAAACAGGTTAATCAAACTCTCTTGCATAGGTTTAAGACTTAACCACTAGTAATTCTGTACTTAAGATTTTTTCTTCAGTCAATTTTTTAAGCAAAAGAAAAATTAAATTACAATTAATCTAATCGAAAACCAGCATGTGAGATACAGGTTTGCACTGCTGACTAGGCACACTAAAGCCAGATCTTGGCTTCAGTTAAGACAACTGATGTTATCATACAAAATAGTGAATGTAGAAGCCTGCATCTACAGCATACATCAAAAAGATATTTCAAATCATAGTTGTACACTTTTTAAAATCTGTCCTTCAAAGAAACTAATAAATTCAGATCTCCCATAACTGTGGATCTAATAAATCTAAGCAAATATCAGACTCTTTAGAGCTGGTAGCATAGGGTTACAACAGCTCTGCCCTCCAATGTGAACCTTCATTAATGTGCTAGGGATGGTTAAAAAAAAACAAACCACAAAACCAGAAAAAAAAAGCATAAAGAAAACAAGACAAACCAAACCACTGAAAGCACCAAGAAGGACTGCCATTGTAATGATTACATTTGTCTTAATTCCAGTTTCATTTGGTCAGGGATCAATGTTAATTGCCTTTATAAAACAGTTGTACTAAAATTGAACTAGGAGAACAAAGGAGAAGAAAAGTCAACTAATGAGTTAGAGGCATATTCCTATGCTATCTCAAATGGCTTTAGCCTAAATCTAGCATGGTCAACTCCTTGAAAATAGGACTGTCAATTACTTTATCCTTCAGTCCAAAAACTGCTGCACTCAGTATACCCAGTTGTATGTTCAGACACACTAACAAAATTTGATTTTCAACAGCATTCACTGGAAGGAATCTCATTAAAAGTCCCAGCATTGCCATCCACCCTGCACTTCCAAGATAGTTTATCTTTTCAGCCTTAAATATTTTTATGAAAAACGTTTCTTTATTCATGTATGTAATGCAGGCTATACTGTGTTTAAATTTGTAGCTTGCAAAGAGGCAATAAAGACTTGATTTTGGAAACTTTTGAATTAAAAGGGAAAAAAAAAAACAACCTATCTCTTTCTTCGAGGGTTAAAGAAAATCTCCCTTTGAGTAACTCCAGAACTTGTGAAGGAGAAATGAGGCTTTAGAAGCAGTATTATTTCAGGCTGCACATAGAGTCCCACAGATTATTTACTGCAGTGAAGGTACATGTGTTGAACGGTGACCTCAGAAGCATGGTACACTAGATAAAAGGCTGTGGCTCTAAAGGTTTATGTTCAACTCTCCAACACCTAAAACACCACAGGAAGAAAGATCTTAACAGTAACATTGACAAATTTCATACTGATTCAAGGATCAGATAGTGGGAGGTATTAATTCCACCCAAGTTTGACCAGAGCACAGTGTTTTGACTCATTCTGTCAATTGCACCTTCCTTCTCCTCTAATTTATGGCCTTAAAACTCAAAGGTTTTCAGGATTCAACGTAGTCTCCCTCACGGCCTTCACAGGAAAATGGAGGATGAGGAAAGGGAAGTAAACCTGGATAAGTAGGTCCATATTTCAAGAATAATACTTTGTATGCTTGGTGGGTGATTCCAGTGACCATTAGCAAAATCAGGCTTGAGGTAAAAAGGACCATTTTGAACAGCAAAAGAATCTGAAGGAGCAAGAGAAAGCCTCAAGTCCTTCACCCAGCAGATGGACAGTTGCCACATACACCCCACCTATTTGTCAGGCACTAGCTTAGTTAAACACAGAATTTCCAAGTCAAATATTATCTTTTTTTATATACGACTAGAAAAGAAGGACCTGAATAACCTTTATTTTATATGTTTACAAAAAGTTTGCCTGAAGTATGGAACAAGCACGTAAAAACAGCAGAGATAGGTCTATGCAAAATTCAGGGAGTGGGCTGTAGAAGCTGTCATCATAGTACAAATAAAAAAAAAAAAACGGATGACACTTGGTTTTCTAAACTTCTAGTGCTTTCCATTTATTGCATGTTTACTACTGCAGCAGCTATAGACTACTTTTCTAGAGCTCCTATGCCTTGCAGCAAAGCCAAAGAATAATGCATTAGAAAGAGGTGTGAAATAAGAAAATAGAGCTTTTGGCTCCATTTTACAAATGATATGCATTAAAAAAAAAGAGGAAAGAAACATAGAAAGGAGCCACAATTTTTACCTGATATTGTTCTTAAATTTATAAAATATGCCCGCTAAGAAAACTGCAGAGGGGAAAGTGACAGATTAAGAAGCTGAAGAAACTCTTATGGTTGAGAAAAATCCTGAAGATACTAGAGACTTGAGAAAAAAATCCAGGAAGGTAGTTCACTTTCATACTCTGGTTTACAGAAGACAGCTGACAGCATGAAAAAGGTATAGACAGGGTACTATTACTTCACAATTAGTCACTGTACTGGTGGTTTAATGGGCATATACAGACCAGAAGTCAAATGGAAAGAGCATTACAACTTAACTCCTCTCACACAGCATGAGAAATTAGTTCAGATAAGTCAGTCAGTCACTGAAGTGACAAAGAACAGGAGAGGTCAAGGCTTTTGGGACTAAAACATGTTTGTGCTTAGGGCAAGGAGAGAAAAGAGAGAAACCAGATGGCAGGATGAAGAAGAGGTAAAAGAAAGACTGTGACATGAAATTTACAAGTGTGAAGTAGGTGAAGAGACCAATCTGAAAGGAAAAGGTGATACCGGCAATTCACTGAGATCCTCCCTCCCTTAATAGACCTAGCTGTCTTGACTTGTAACAGTAATGCCAAAAACGCTGGCTTTTTTAATTCCTTTGCAGTCTGACATCCCATACATTATAAGCTACCTTCAGGTCATTGTACTACCATTACACAAGCTTAAAATTAAGAAATAAGCATGAGATAAGCAGTGTGTTACTCATTATTAAAACTGAAATTCCCAGTGATTGTTACCCTAAAATCATAGAATCACAGAGTAACTACGGCTGGAAAGGACATTAAAGATCATCTAGTCCCAACCTCCCTGCCATGGGCAGGGACACCTTCCAAATGACAAGCACAAAGGCACCCACAATATCTCTGGGCAACCTGCTCTGGTGTCCTACTACCCTCTGAATAAACAACTCCTTCCCAACATCTCTGAATCTACCCTCTTCCATTTTAAAGCTGCTCCCCCTTATCCCATCACTGCAGGCTGTTGTCAAAAGTCCCTCTCTCCAGCTTTCTTGTTTGGCCCAGTCTAGGTACTGAAATGTAGCTAAAGATCTCCACAGAATGCACTGATAGTTTCATCTGTGGAGATCTCTTAAATAATATAAAGCCATACAACAGCAAATATAATTTTTAAGTTACACATCAAGATTAACATTATCATTTTGGCTATTAACTCTCAGAATATCCATTCTCTTCCCCTTTTTGACCTTATTCTTTGAAAAACCCTTACAAACCCACACACCTATGTACCTATATGTAAGGAGGGACTGTAGAGAGACTTGTGGTATGGCATTGCACTCGTTCACACAGAATGATATTGATTTATTTGCTGTAAATGGCTGATTTCCAAGATTGTTGCATAAAGTTATCTCAACACTCTGCCAGCTCGATCAAATTTCATCCCATTTTCAAATAACCTTAGTGGCAGGAGCTGTGGAAAGAACTGCTACTAAAAAGTGTCTTCTGGGACCTCACATAACACTTACACACTAATAAAAGTGCTCACACATCTGAGGTGCCCTGCAATATCAAGACCATTATCTGCTTGAGTGTTCACTAATACTTGGTCACTTGCTTGCAAAGAGTTTGCTTTTGATTTGTCTTAGAAAAAATTAAGCCAGTTTTATGGCATCATTTTATGGCAAAAAAAATTTATTGAGATGGTGACATACAAATACAAAGCAGGACAAGCGCCTGCACTAAGATAGTAAACAAGTTAGAGGGTCTGTACTATGAACAGCATAGTCCCATCACAGATAACTGACAAAAGAACCGTCCAACCAATAAATATAAACAGTATAAATAGCTGTTTTTTTCAGGAATCACTCTGCATCATCTGCAGCCTGTTTGGAACTAATTAAGTCTCTGAAGACTAAAGTCCAGCAAACAAGTCCCTGAATTCCAGGCCAAATTTCCAGCCCGAAAATACCCCGTGCGTCTTAGGGTGTTAGTCAGGAGCAGGAAACAGGTGCAGTGCAGAAAACGCAGTTACAAAAACGGGAAAGTAGTGCATTATTTCGTTTATTGGTATTCCAGCTTTCAGCACTTCTAACGAGCTGACAGAAGCCAACTACGATTCCCTGGCGAACTGTCCCGCTGCGAGGAAAAGAAACGACAAATCCCTCGCTCTACGCCGCACCGACGAGCGGCCTCTTGCTCTCCCGGCCGGCAGCAGAACCCTCGCTGCCGCCCGGCCCCGAGGGGGCCCTGGATTCGCGGCGGCCGCTGCTCCCGGGGCAGGCAGCACCTCCTCGCCGCGGCGGGCCGGCCGGCAGGGCGCAGATAGCGCGGGCCCCGTCCCGGGCCGCCGAGCGGGGGGCGGCGGCGCGGAAGGGCTACTCACCATCTCTTGCCTCAGGAGCTGAAGTTTTGTCTCCAGACGGGCCAGGGCGGCAGCGCGGCGGCGGCGGGGGCCGGGGGCCGCGGCGGCGGGGCGGGCCGGGAGCTCCTCCCCGCGCAGGGGCCGCGCCAGGCTCTCGGGCACTCTGCGCCCCAGCTTCTGCTCGACGTCGCGGAGGTCAGGCGCGGCGCCGGGCTCCATGGCTCGCCCTACAGGGGCCCGAGGCGGCAGCGGCGGCACTACCCGCGCCCGCCCGGCCGCTGCCGGGGCGCGGAGGCGCGGAGAGCCGCGGCAGCGCCGGGGACGGCGGATGCGCCGCGCGGGGGACCCGCGGCGGGCACGGGCATCTCCCGGGTGCACCAGCCCCTCTCGCCCCCTTCCCGGCCCCCGGGGAAAGGCAACAGCGGCCGGGCGGCGGCGATGAAGAAAAACGGCCCCGCTTCGCGTACGAGACCGCAACGCGCCCCGGCAGCTGCGGCCGGCACAGCGCGACCCGAGTCATCGCGCGTCCCGGCCGGCTGCAACTTTAAAGCCGCGGGCAGGTGGAAGAGGCGCGGCAGGCCCGGCCCTCCCACCGCGCTGCCTGCGCGCAGGGCGCGGCACGGCCGCGGGGCGCCCCCGCACGGCGGGGACCGCGTCTGGGTGCGGAACAGCGTGTGCTTCGGGGACAGCGGCCGGGCGGCAGGGGAGAGGCGGAAAGAAAGGGAAAAAATATAAAAGAGGAGAAAGCGAAAAAAGGGAAGGAAGGAAGGAAGGAAGGAAGGAAGGAAGGAAGGAAGGAAGGAAGGAAGGAAGGAAGGAAGGAAGGAAGGAAGGAAGGAAGGAAGGAAGGAAGGAAGGAAGGACTAGGAAAATAAAAAAGAAAAATGGTAAGAAAGTGAAAGAATGGAAATGAGAGTCACCCCTTCTAACAGGGATAGTACACTAGAGCATAAGTACACTGTGAGTGGTACTCATCCTGCTCATCAAACAGGTTTTATTGCAGGCAAGTGCATTCCTCCCAACCCCCCTTTTACTATTTCTGTTATTTTTTGTCCCCCTCCTCTTTAAGAAGTAAAGCTTGCAAACCGAGTCCATTGCTCCAGTTGCTAGGAAGGCATATGTTTGCTGTGCAGATAGGTAACAGTGCTGGATGTGTCCTGTTGCTCATTGTACCACGATGCTCCTTGTCCTGTGGCACTAAAAAGCATTTAGGCATACTGAAGCAGGAATTACCTCATCTGTGGAGCTACAGCTGACAGATATCAAGGGGGTTGAGAAAGTGAGGCCAGTAACTCTAGGTGTCAGGTCCTCTATAACAACTAGAATCTGAAAGTGTGGTATGGTGAGCTTGAGAAAACAAAATGTTTTTACAGCAAACTGCATGTTTTTGGTGAAGTAATTTCATCAGTACTTTAAGATTCGTTGTCATTACCTTTGCAAGGATTTAGTACAGTAAAGTAAAAAATCTGCAGATGTGTTTGATATCTTAAAGATGCATTGATTTTAGACTAGGACCCTTATTTTATCATAATAGCTGTCTGGAAATCCTGTGTGAGAGATATATAAAAAAAACATTTGTTTCTCTCATATTTGTCATATATGTTTAGTTCATATGGCAACAACTTCATTAATATTCTTATCAGAAAAGAAAGCCAAACCCAGCCGCTCACACCAAATAAGAATCTTCTGTCTTACTGCCACCACCCCCAAATATTTCCTCAAGTTCTGTTTTAATACACTGATATTTACAGACTAGCTTCTATATAATCTCATATAGTTCTCATAATCTCTTGATTTATGCCATTCTGTGAATTAGTAGGCTTCACACTGAAATTCTCCTTCTATGAGCTATGCACACCTTCTTAAGTAAGTTTTAAGATTACGTGACTGTTGTTAAAATATTGAACTGTAGAACTCTGTTGTTCTACAAGCAGCATCCTATAAAAAAGGTCATAATTCAACTGTATTCAGACTTTCTGTTTGAAGAAATTAAGAAAAATTCCAAAATGTTATTTTTTCCTTAAATAGTTCAGATGACCTGAATTACCAAGTTTTGAAAAATCAAAATGGAAGGGAAATAATACAAAGAATTTATGCTAGTTTGAAAACAGGTTTTTCAGTGACAAAAAATTTCCCCAAATCCTACTGTAAATCTAAATATAGTGCAAATAAGTCCTTTCTGTTATTCTGGATTAGCAACATTCAGAAAGTGAACTACATAATGTATGCTATGGATTCATGGATTTATGCTCTACCATCTGGTGGCCTGATTCTTATGTCTGGCCTTGCATTAGTATAGCAGCTAGCAAGTCAATGGGCATACTTTTGAATTGCAAAGATTAAAAGATACGCCTATGTTACAGTCACCTTGTTAAATCTTCAAGGTTACCGGATTTGCAAAACTAATGTGTTTCAAGGAAACAGGTTTCTCTTAAGTAAACAAAACCAATAAACAGTATGTAAATTTATTTTTCATCTCATGGGACAGATCCCAGATCCTGTGTCTTCATTTTAGAATCATAAAGTGTCCTGACTGTAAGGGGTCCATAAGGATCCAATGCTGTGTTCCTTGCAGGACTACCTAAACCTAAACCATATGATTAAGAGCATCATGCAGATGCTCCTTGGACTCTGACAGGCTTGGTGCTCTGACCAGTTCCCTGGGAAACCTGTTCCAGTGACCATCCACTCTCTTGATAAAGTACACTTTCCTCGTGTCCAGGATGGATTTTCCCTGATGAATCTTCATTCCATTTCCTCATGTCCTGTTACTGATCAGTAGAGTAACAGAGTAACCTCCTCCACTGCCCACTGTGAGGACGTTGTAGTCTCTGATAAGAACAACCCTCAGCCTTCCCTTTTCCAAGGTGAACAAAGTGATCTCATCTGCTCTTGAATGCCTTATCCTCAAGGTCTTTCACCACCGTGGTCACCCTCCTGTGGACACACTCTAATAGTTGGGTAGCCTTGTACCTAGGCATCCACAGCTGCACACAGGTGTTGAGATGGGCTACCCCAGTGCACTGTTGAGCAGAACAATCGCCTTCCTTGACCAACTGATGGTGCTGTGCTTGATGGACCCATTGTCTCTTTTGACTGCCAGGGCACATTGTTGACTCATATCCAACTTGCCATCTACCTAAACCATCAGCTATCTTTCTTTGGTGCTTCTCTTCAGTCTCTCATCCACCAATTATATATAACCAGGATTTCTTTGTCCCAGGTTGAGAATCTGACACTTGCTCTTGTTAAATTTCATGCAGTTAGTGATTGCCATCTCTCTAGTTTATCCACACCTGTCTGTAAATTCTCTCTACCCTTGAGGGAGTTAACAGTTTCTCCTATTTTAATATAACTGGCAAACTTCCTTAATATACATTTAATTCCCACATCCAGATAATTTATAAAAACACGAAAGAGCACTGGCCTAAAATTGAGCCCTGGGGAACTCCACTGGTGATTGGCTGCCAGCCTGATATGACCCCATTTACTGTAATTCTTTGAGTCAGACAATTGCTCCACCCAACCATGTAAAGGTACTTGAACTTGAGTAGCTGTGTGCTGGACATTTCATCCGGAAGGATGCTGTATCAAAAGCTTTTTAAATCGAAGAACCCACATTACTGCCTTTCCTTGGACAACTACATAGGTGACTTTGTCATAAAAGGAAATTAATTTAGTGAAGCAGGACTTACCCCTCTTGAACCAGTCCTGGTTTTGACTAATAACTGTATTGTGTCTCAAGTATTATTCACTAACTCTCAGAATAAATTTATCCACAATTTTGCCAGTCACTGAAGCCTGTAATTACCAGAATCTACCTTCCTACACTTCTTGAAAATTGGGGAACATTTGCTGTGCTTCCAGTTGACTGGGACCTCTCCAGACTTCAATCACTGTTGAAAAGATAATGGAGAGAGTTTCTGCAACGACAATAGCCAGATTTTTCAGTACACTGGGTAGGTCCCAGTGGGCCACATAAATTTATACACATCCAGCTGGAGCAGAATGTCTCAAGTTCAGTTAGGTGTGAGCTTATAATTTCCCTAATCACAGCCTTCCAAAAGAGAGCTTAGGACTCACTCATGTTAAAGACAGAGGCAAAAATGCAATAAATGCCTCTGCTTTGACTGCATCCTGATTTTGAGGTGATTGACATAATCAAGTGCTCAGCCGGTATTATCTCTGGTTCTTCTGTTGACATATTTACAAAGGAAGAACTTCTGTTATCCTTCAAAGTACCACTCAGTTTGGATTTTAGCCGAGCTTTGGTCACGTAAATTTACTCCCTATAGTGGTGAATAGGTTGTTCTGAATAGTGGTGGTAGTGGTGAATCTGTAGTCCTGCTTTACTCTGTGTTCTTCAGCCCCGTGCTGTCCACTATTGGGGTGAGATTTAGAGATTTTTGAATTTCTTACATTGAATCTCTAAGTAAGGTCATTTAGATCAGTGTTTGCTAGCTTGTTTCTTTCTTTCTAAGTTCAGATAGAGATATTAATTCATGTTAATATCTTGTTAAATGCTCCTATCAACCATCCAATTACTGCTGTAGCCGAAATCCTGATATTTCAGTCCAGCAAAATGTGACTGCCTGTATGTATAAGAGACCAACTGTCCAGCCTCTTGTTAGATAGGCTCTGTATTGTCTGTCACATGATATCATCTGCATCTCCCACGGGTATTAAGACCAAAGGAATAAAAGCTTCTTAATGTTATTCTACTGAGCACAGCCTTGGACTTGCCTTAGGTCAAACCATGATTTTGCATAAGAAATTGGAGAGTGGATGTTATGTTAAACATTTTGAAAGTAAACTGAAATGGTTTCACTGGTTTTTTGGGGCCTTTTTTGATGTCTTCAACATACAAGATCTGAAACACAGTACTGTCTTTGTCCAGGAAAGTGAAAATACTGTTTAAAAACCCTATAGTGCCTTCATGCAACACACCTGTATTTCCAAAGATCACGCTGTCAACTTAATTTTATGAGCTTCAGATATGTAGTCTAATCTGGCAACTACTTTCAAGCCTGTAAGGTGAGGTCTTTTATTTTAATGGCAGTTCTTCATAAGATTTAGCTCTTAAATGACTGCTTAAGCTGATCACATGGGAAATCAGAGGACAAAAGTCATGGAACAGGATAACATTGAGCAGCTTGAGAAGGAAGGGGCTTAGAGGCTTTTCAGTTTATTCCTTTTTTTTTGCTTTCCATAAAAGATGA